ATCCATCGAAATAGCATTTAAATTGGTTTACCTTAACCGAGAGAAGTTGTGCGACACGAATCGTACTCGACACATTGATATTATGACGTAATTTACATCAACAAATCGATGGCAATCGATATTTGAAAGAACTTGAATTTCAATAATGTAAATTCTGAATACTTTACAGCGTCGTAGCTTTTCGYAGTTCTTGAATCCATCTGAAGACAGAACAAAAACAAATTTGATATCSATCAATTTCTTTATTCACAAAACCCGGAATCTACTCCAGAAGTAAGAGTTCCTTCGAGTTTTTTTTGCAGTAAAAATGAATAAAAATGATCAACGGAAAAAGGGAGAAAAAATAAAATTTAAAAAACAACAACAACAAAAACCAGCACATATAACAGTGTCATTATTCTTTACCTAAATGCTGAAGATTCTGTCTCAGTTTTAAAACTAAGTGGAGGCAGTCCGGCGTGTTTCAATTGAAATTGAATTTCATCAGCTTCCTGTACGGAAAAAAAATATAATTGAGTTTAAAACGTTTTTGGTTATGATGCTTTATCTATTTTGAACTTCTGAAGTAATTGTGGTAATGTGTGTAATGTGAAAAAAATGTCATAAGTTCGAYCGATCTTCTGTAGGGTTGAAAGGAAGGCTATTTTAAACAGAATTGCCATCAAYACTAACCGTTCTGGTAGCTTCTTGAACCATATAACCTAAAATAGGTATAGTTTCCATAGCAACTACGTCCTACAAATAGCAAAGGATGATACAGCAGTTCTGAGTGTTCTGAGGTTTTTTCATTTTGTTACAGCAATAATAACTAAGATTATTATCAAACTGATATGCCAAAAGAGATATATATATTGAGTTTAAACTCAAAGGACCAATGTCTCTATATACGGTGGATGAGATATCATATCATTTGAAACACGGATCAAAACGCGCGGCAGTTTAACACTTGTGACTTTGTCACAGTAATCGCATAATACGCTGGCGGCGGCGCTGTCTAAGTGGAAGGGGTGGGGTGGGTATGGGGGCTTTGATGTCATAGGTGGGGCGGCTGACAATATCCAGCATTTCCCACAGACTCACAATTGTACGTCGCTTTTAAACTCCATCAAATATGTTTGATAATAATAATGATAATGCTCCACCAAAAGAGATATGAGCACCATAAAAACTGGGAAAAATCGCGCACTTTTAAGGTTGCAAATTTGATGTAAATGTGATGTAAGTGTCCAAAATGATGTACAAATTTACATCAATTTTACATCATTTTCGACAGCTACATCATATTTACATCAAATTTTCAACCTTAAAAGTAAAAATGTTTTTCCAGTGAAAATAGGCAGGTCAAACAACAAAACGTTGATTATCCAGTAATATATTGGATTGTGTTAGGTTATCCAGCTATTTTTGTTTGACAGAGATTTGTTAAGTTGCTGTTTTTCGCTTACCTCACTCGCTTTGTACGTATAGAGAACATTGTCTTTTAAAACAAACCAGAGTCGCTTCCATCCGTGCTTGTTGGTCCGCTTAAATCTCAAATATCCGCTCATTTGACTCTCGCTATCATGGCCGACCACCTTAAAACAATCAAGAATAGAAAGTTAATGAACAAAATAAAAAAAGAATATGTAACAAAACAGCAACGAGCAGAGCAGATCTGTTGTTTGTTCTCGGCAGAGAACCAATATAGAGTAAGTTGGAAGTGCTTTTGACACAATAAATCGATGATAATGCTAACGATGATTGCGATTACGCTTCTGTAAGAAGTGAAGTTGTAATGATACTTGGTGCTTCAGCATGCTGTACTGGTTGTAAACTGACAGTAAACAGTTTCTCACGATCATGTCATACAGTAGCTTTATGAATACAAAGTTTGCTAAGTCGTTTAGGTCCTCGCCAACTCCCCCGGAATTCCTCCTCTCTTTCATTACCCTCCGGGGTTTTAATTCGATCCCTTCTACTCTAGTTACCTCTGTTCGTACGGAAGGTCTTGACATGATTATCTTCGATCGTCTGTTATGCCGTTTAGASCCGGGTTTAAATCGATGCAGTATTTCAAACTTTGGTGGTTTGCGATTGATTCTATCGAGGTCATCTCCACCAATGCCGACAGGGGAATGGGGCGGAGGATCTGTATCTACAGTAGCTTCTTTGATGGACTTATTTTGTTCTGAAATAAAACATTTTTAG